ATGAACAAGTGTTCACCATGTGCTCATTATGAGGGAACTATGTTTGTATTTTCCCACAAATGGCACCAAATTGCATGGGGTGTTTCCTGTGCAATCGTTGAGGTAGCAACACTTGGCTTGACCATTCCTATGATTCTTAAAACAAGGAACAAGGCAAGGAAGGGGCTGGATATGTGTACAGTGTATCCCTTTCGATGCTCAATTTAGTCAGTGTGAAAGGGAGGATGTAAGTGCTACTATGTACACTAAATCACACACACATACCTAAGGCCCAACTCTATGGGCTATTTATACCTTAAGGGATGCTGCCATGGAACCCTATGGGTCATGTTTAGCCGACAAGTTTGACAAAATTTTTGGAGTGAAATCCTCCAACTAATCCACATGTCGGCGAAGCCATTGTGTTAGTGATTGTCTCCTAGTAAGGCCTCGAGCCGTGTATTTACTAGGCTTAGAAGCAACTTGCATGTGCTTGGGGTCAAAACTGCAATGACTACCTCACTTGGCGGTTGAATTATTTAATAAGGCCTTTCAAACATTTAATGAGGTACAGTGCATTTAGTAAGGTCCATCGAGCATTCAATGAGAAGCCTTTTAGGGTATCACTCAATTGGTCCCCGTAAGGGAGAGCCATGACTCATTTTCGTTATTTGTGGGATCTGATGTTGGTCCCCTTATGGGGGTAACGGTGCAGCTAATCATTCTCTTCCACTCATCCCATTAGTAACTTTAGATTAGGTCAATGGGTCCTTCTATCAAATTCAGATCAGTCGTACTACTCGAGCTTGGGGTATGACATGTCCTGAATGTCTTAGGGGCCAGTAGCTACAAGGACATCGTTCAGACTGATGATGTTCGGCTTATTGAATACCTTCTTGGTTTGGATACGATCGAGGCACTAGGTTTGTCTGATAGGGTCCAACGTGGTACACATGTCTTCTAGTGATGGGCTCGCCAATTCACGTCCTGTCCATCTTCATATAGACTAGAGCCACCTGAGCTAATTCTCTCCAATAATGAATGCCCTGGTGTAGCTTTTGACATGGTTGTTTTGCCACAACCATGAGCTAGGGATATTTCGATGCACTAATGAGGTCCGACAGGGCATGCCAAAAATATAATTTGGGTACAAAGTGAATTTTTAAAAGATGCAGGCTACCAAAGCTCATAAGAACTCAAATCCAACCATGACACCTTAGTAGGCCAGATTGATGTGACATCTTGTATCGGGACTTTGTCCACGATTATACTAGGGAGTAAAATATAACTCTGAAAGTTATCTTCTATGTCTTGGATGCAAGGACTTAATATTATCCATAATCCACCCATTGATCCCTCACAAAGTATAACTAATCAATAACTTCATGAACTGTACTTTTATTGAAAGGAAATCGCAGAGAAGCTAAAATTGCTTGAGAGATGAGATATGGTTTGCTTGAGAAAGCTGATTTTTGTTCAGAAGTGTAGGTTGGTTGAAATAGTTGGAGATGGTCCTTGTTGCATATTGGATTGATACTATTTATAGGGGTGGAAAGATAACTACCTCGCCCTCATTAGCCTGCAACATCCTCCACATCCTAACTGCTTCCGCATCTAGACCACCCTAGTTTTCTAACCCTTACTCGAATATATTTCGTAGGGTATTTGTTATACCCATTAAATCATTTTGTCTAATCATTTACGATAGATCATGAATAAAAGGCTAAATCATCTCTTCCCTATCAGATACAACAAATTAAGCAAGTAGAATTGTACCACTTCTCTTCCTCAATCTCTCTCTTGTAACTTTATTCTCTCAAAACTTATTGTCAAAATCTCAGCTCACCCCCTCTCTCTACTCTAAGTTTTACTCACTCCACACTTCAAATTAGGGATTAACTTTCTATCTTTGAAGTCCTAATATCTGGGAAATAGAGATCATGAACTGGAGAATAAGAAATTGAATATGTGATCATTGGATGATCAATAACTTCATTATGTGTGTATGTGTGTTCAAGAAATTATGTACATGTGAAAAAAGAAAGAAAAAAGACAAAATCACGAGTGTGATTGTGTGAGTCCGTCACACCTTATTCCAAAATAAAAGAAAGCATTAAAGATAGCAGGAAAAAACTTAGGAGTCTTTAAGACCAATGCAATTTAGAGCTATTTTTTTTCTTTTCTTTTTTGTTTGTTTCATCAGAAAACATGGAAAAATAAAGCACTTCAGGAAAACTTGGCATTTGGCAGCAATTTTCCATTGTTATGACTATTATCTCTGTCATTAAGAAAATGATTTAGTTTTGTAAACATGTTCAGTTTGCCATGATGTAAGGATTCCTGCCCATAGTTTAAAGTGGAATGTGAAAAATTGATGGTTTAAGGTGTAATGCCAAATAAGGGACATAGTTCAAGGGATCTAGTGTAATTTACCCTTAATTTTTCAAGTATTTAGTGCGAATGGCGTAGCTTGAGTCGACAAGGTATGCCTAATATTCTGGGAAGAATAAAACAATTAGAAGCACAATTAAAAAAAAATATGTAAGACCTCATAGATTTATTTAAAATAAATAGTAGAATATTAATCATCATGTTAAATAGGTAAACTAGCATTAGGAATGGATTTGGAAATCGAAAAAACCCTAGGAATGTTTTATAGGCTGAAATAGAGGATCTAGGGGAAAAATTATAATTTTTGGAGGATAGTATAGCACAAAGGATGTCTAGGAGAGAGAGGTTTGTTCGGATGTGAGATTTGTGTGCAGGTGCATGTCTATAATTGTTGGCAGAGAGTTGGGTCTGTCCGGAAGAGAGATTTGCGTTCGGATGCTGGTTAAATAAATTTGGATAGAGACTTGACTCCATTTGGACGCGAGATCTATATCCAGACGCACATACAAAACACGTGTGTGCTTTCTTGCATGCCATTTCACCAGTTTTGGGGACCATAAATACCCTAGAGATCTACTTTTAGGGTTTTTTTTACACGTATTTCAACCTTAAATATGCTTCAATTATTCTAAAATATGCATAAATTATATGAAATCGTTGGTACTTTGACCTACTTGTGTTATATATTTTGAAAACTTTATTTAAACTTGAGAAAGATTTCTCTATTGAGTTAGTTGTGCTTACCTCTGACCTCAAATTTTTTTAGATTTGGATGTGAATATGGAAGCAGGGTTAGATGTAAATTTCGAAATTGATCAGGAGGACATAGATCAAGAAGCCGAAGTTTGAAGAATAGTTGCTTAGTTAACTCATTACTTGATTATTTTAGACTATGATCATGGATTGTTGCTATACTTGGGTTTTGGATTTTAAAACTTGAATTTGTTGTTTTGGAGAGTTGATTTTGGTTGGATTGTTTACTACTTTGATATTGAAATGGACAAATTATGTTAATGTTTAGATAGTTTATAATTTAGAATGCACTCACATGTTGCTCTTGTCATTTAACTAATGCTCTTACCAACTTCAACCAAACATTCAATGCATAGAATTTTGACACATCATTTAGGATACAACATTGGATAAATAAATTTGGAAAGTACAGTTTTATCTTCTTACAAAATGTAATTTTGTAACTAGGAACTAGGAATACAACCAAAGAGTCCTGAAAGCATAAAGCAACAAAAAGGGCCAAGAGAAACATGAAAGCCAGGAAGGTGCTCCTGAGAGAATCTAGCCCAGTTGAAGACAATAAAGAGGGAGAGCGCATTCTGAGCTTGACCATGAACTTGCTTGATAGCACCTCTACTGATCAAACTGAGCCAAAATCCATTCTTTCACAATTTTGCTGCTATTCTTAATGATGGTTTTATCTTCAAATGAGGGCCAATGTTTTCCGCAATCTGCAAGACAGATTAGATTTTAGAGGCTATCAGTTACCAGGAATGAAGAACTACAGGTCTTCCTCAAGTCCCAGATGAGAGCAAAATGACTGGCTATATGCCATGCATGAAGGGAATTGTTTACAAGCACCGAGCACGATAAGAGCTCAGTGTCCAACCCAATGAGCAAATGTCACAAAGCCAATACCTCCCCCATCAATTATCCTTCTTCCAGGACCCATAATTGGTCCAAATGCCAACTCTTGCATATAATAAATGTGCCATGTGTGCAGTTCTAGGGCTTACACATCACACCCCAAACCGAAACGCAATCAAAACACTCCAAATGTAAATTTCATTAAGGCATGTGAAATTTGAATTCCAATTATGCAAAGCTCACACTGACGAAATTGTGGTCCTTTAGCAGTTAATCTTAGGAGACCCAAAACTTAGTATGGTAGCTGTTAAATTTCAGGTTTCTCCATAAATTTAGTTAAGTGAAAAACATGCCCATCCCGGCACAATTTTATCGCAAAAGTAGATCATGTATGCATAAGTTCCATGATGATGGGCATTTCTCACAGTTATGCTAGCATAAGCCACAAAAAGTTTCAGATCAACTTCTTTATTACTAATACATGAACTCTCTTCATGATTTCCATCAAGCCAAGTGGTGTTTTTCATCCATAATAGTTGATTGTCTACAATGATTCTATAAAAATTTAGCAATTAGTGAGTGATATTTGTCTAATACAAGAACATAATAGTACAGAGTACGTAGAGCAAATATGATGGCCACAGACAATAACACAACGCCACTAATATAGAATAAGGGTATGCCACTAATATAGAATAAGGGTATGGTCGATGAAGCAAAATCAAATAAGTTTAAGTTCGAAAGGTTGCATGCTATGCTTATGTCAAAATCAGAAACCCGTATAACCAGCCCCTTCCCCAAGTGCTCTAAATGTTTATATGAACTTCGTTTGTTAGAGATGAATATTTAAATTTTGCTACAGCAACAATAGTAAAAGGCCCCAAGGACAATATACTGAAGAAGGCTCAACTAACTCAACTCATTTTTCCCAATAAGAGAAAGAAAATTTTGTAGAATATTCTTCACGTAATATTTATGAAATGATCATTCATAACTAAGACAGAGAGCGTACATACAGACCTGATCATATTTCAGAGGCTTTTTTGTAGCTTTTTCTTCACAACTCCTTCAAAAATGCCATCAAGTCCAAAATTAGATGTAACTTCTTGATGATCAATCGGCCCTGGTAGCTGGAATGAGACGGAAAATCCCCCTGGTGGACATAGATTTTGCGTTTGCATCTCAAACACCATGTTGTTCCTGTGAACTTTTTTCTCGCCAGTTGATGTCACTCCCTTTATCAATATTCTCCCTTTAGGCTCAACATTGCAACTGAATTCTGAACCACTTACGAAGTCAATGGTCAAATCCATAACCAGAATCATGTATAACACAAAATTTGGAGTCCACATCATGCAGAAATGGCTCTAAAATGATTTAGTAGCATATGAAACTGTACTATAAAAATGAAAGAATTCTTTTTTTTTTTTCAGAGCTTGACACAGCCTCATCCTTACATGTTAATACAAGCATGCACTGATTTCAGTAAGTATTTAGGTGTATGTAAATATATATATGCGTATATTTGATTCAAATCCACTATAACACTTTTATACATGTTTTCCTATTAAATGTCTTTCAAGTAATGTAGGGGCTTTTTAACTAAAGAACTAAATCTGATGCTTAAATGCCAACTTGATCGTGAATTTATCCACCACAATTAGATAAAATTCAATTTCTTTGATATATTCATGAAAGATAATTACCAATATGGAAAGTGATTACGAAATTTTCTACTTAATTATATGTCAGACACAAAAAAAATATATAAAAAAATACTTACTTTCATCATTTGCCACACCTGGGAGGGAGACACGAAATACATAAGTATCCTCAGATTCACCAATATCTATTAATCCTAAAGCTGGTCCCACCATTCCCATTGCAGCACTCCCAGTAACTGTAACTCCACTTTTGGTAGCAGCTACGAGGTCATCCCACTCTTTCTCTGCTGAATGAGGAGGTATAAATACCATAGCAGGCTGGTTTCTCGTAGGAAGACTAGGATCCCCTTCTGTTGGTGATGGAATATGGGTGTAAGGCTGAGGTGGACCAGTGTATGGCACACTCTTCAGAGGTGTGACAACGAGGATAGGTTGTTGAGGATCCATTGGTCTCCCACCGTTGTTTACACTATGTTGGCCCGAAGACAAGTGAGCAGATCTGATGTCCAGCAGTTAGTTACAATCATATTAGTAGCCATGTGAAAAGATACCAATGTTTGAGGGAAAAAATTCTTAATTTGCACTGAAACAAGTATAATGTTACTACCATGAGGTGCAAACACAAAAGACAGGATCACTCTCAGCCCAGAGAAAGTTTAATCAAAGAAAAAGTCTAGGCAGGATCATTTTTACCGTTGCGGGCTTGGGTGAGGTTGCTCCATTGTCACCTATAGATCATGGGTTCTAGTTGTGGAAATAGCCTACTTGCAAGGGTAAGACTGCATACATCTAACTATCCCAAAAAAAGAAAAAGAAAAAGCCTAACCATTACTCTAAAGAACTCTGACATATGTAATCCATGTTGCATGCTGGGGTGGGGGTAGGGATTTTCCAAATACAGTTAACCTGGCACAAACAAGATGAAAATCCTGTACTATTCTAAATATACTAAAAAAAGACAGATCAAACAAAGTAAAATTAGAAGCCACATAAAGGGGAAATGAATTAAGACTGTAGAATAGACAAAGCCACAAAAAGGGAAAATGAATTAAGACTGTAGAATAGACAAAGCGAAGTCACATCAAGGACGTAAAAAATTGATCAGAACAAGTAATCAAGACTTCCCAGATACAACACCAATAGTTCCATGTAGGGAAACAATAAATGAAATATGAAAAGGCCATTGTCAAGGATTAGAAACCTGCCAATGCATCATGCTGGCAAGGTGGACTTGCATAGGTTTTCAGAATTAACTGTAAGAAGAGGCTACGCTTACATCGAAACCACATTTGCACACTAAAGAGCACAAATTTAATGATTGCACAGCTATTGGCCCATAAGATATGCACAAAAAGAAACGAGATACCACAGATCTACATCTTTCCGTGTTCATATGCTGATATAAGAATCTTGTTCTTTGAACTAAATCACAGTAGCAACTCAGATCTATTACACTTGTGCTGGATTTGGCCGACTCGATATGAGACCCCAGAAGAATAGATAAGGCCCAGATTGAATAAGAAATCAAATCCAAGAGACATAATAATCCTATTCCAAGTATGACGTGACACCCTAAACGATTTGTATTAAGACAGGATTCCTGAGGTTTTTTTTTATGACATTCAACAGTAGTTTTGAGAAAGAAATAATGAAACAACAATGTGCAAATAAGAAGCCATAAATGATCATACTAATTAACATTTGTTTTCAGAGAAAATCAAACAATGAATCAAAAATTAGTTAAATGAGGAGTCAGAGATAGCTCATATTCAAAATTCAAATAAAAAACAAGTCATTTCATATGACTTAAGCAAACTTTTAAACCTAATTAAATAAGAAACCCCTTAGAAGCAAGCATTTAAAAGAATCCAATAAGATGACGAGAGAGAAAGAAGTAGATCTAAGCAGATCTCTCCCTCAGAAACAGAAACAAAAAACACACAAGCAAATGACAGAAGGGGACATGATCGACTCACTTGCAATGACTGGCTGGTTGATGGTGACTAGGATGAGGATCAATTGGACATGGTCGGCGGCTGGACATCTCTCTCTCTCTCTCTCTCTCAATGGAAATGAACCAGATGGGGGCAGGGAGCTCCTTTTATAGCCGCTCGGAGACCAAGAAATGCCCCCACCAAAAAACAAAAAATATTTTAAATATTTTATTCGTTAAGCTATTTGATGCAACACTCTAGTGCATCTTAAGCGTGGGATGGGACACAGGCAGGATATGCGTGTTGATCAACCACCTTACCTGGCCATGGAAAAGGGGCTTATAGAGCATGTACTCTCCCACGGGTAAATAATATTTTTACCAATTTGGAATTCAAATAAAATCTGTCAATGATCAAGGGGGAATATAGAATGATAAGCTATATTTCCTACATGAAAAGTGATGCATTCTTTTTCTTTAATATGAAAAGAGATTGCTGAAAACCTAAGATGAGTATCTTTTTCCAAAATTTCTTTCCTAAGGGTTATTTGATGTGCACAACTGCATTGCATCTCTACAAATGAGGAACAATATGACCTCTTTCATGTGCTTAAAATGTACCCTCGAATAAGAATATCTGCATATACATATCTATATGGATGAGACATTATAATTACCCTTGTCCTTTCTCTTTACTCTGCTAGAAATTATCCTCATATTTCACTACTATCCTCTTTTTTTTCATTAATTTTTTTTTCCTGTTTAAGTTATTATTTTCATGTTCCATATGGCAAGTTTTTCTTCCCCTTCGACATTACTTCTTACAAAATAAATTCAGCTTGATAAATGATGCAAAATTTTATTAATTGGAATGTCTTTTTAATTACAACAAGTGACTGAAAGCCTCCACCATGTTATTTGAGCAAAAGGTTGTAACACCAACACTAAGCAAGAGCCCTCCCCAACCGGAGAAAACCCTGAGTCAACATAATAGAACACTTCACAGACGAGGAAGCAAAGATTGTAGATCATATCATAAAGAAAAGTATTCCATTTCAAGAAACCCACCAAATCTTAATAGTCATTGGGATGAAGGGGCAAAATTTTTCTAGAAACCACTAATCTACCCTGTAGAAGCATTTCTTAATTTTGTCCCACAACAACAAAATAACACATTTCAAACTTGTATACTAGTCTATGAGTCTCTCAACTAAAAGTCCATTGGTTTTGGTTGGATGATTGCACATGGTAGCAAAGTGGAGCTTCTTTGAAGCGTTTTGGAAAGACTCAATTTCATTGACCTAGTAATTAATTATGCCCTTATTTGCACCATAGGTGCACTTGTTATGTCTATGAATTTGTCTTTTGATGCTTCCATTTATAATGCAAGGAAATATAAAAAACACAAATATAATGAAAAAGAAGGGAGTTGAGAAACAAAACGAACGAAACCATTGATTTACGCACAAATATCAATTCAGAATCTCTCGCTAGCCCATTGATTCATTTCAGAATGTCAATTCTAAAGGCATTAATTAATATGTTGATTCCTAGAAATACCATAAGAAGCGGAAAAGAGAAAACTTTCTCAATATTATTAGTTCACCAAAAGTTCCCTTGCCATAAGGCTTACAAGAGTTTATCTAGTAGTAGAAACCCAAAACCAACTAAAAAAATATAAAAATGTGGCCTAATTATCATTTATCACAATTAGGCCATTATTACAAATTTTGTCAAGAAAGTTATAAACCAAATATGCGACTAAAATTTACTAATCACCCAGATTAAGACAAAACTGGTGAAAATCAATTCTGACTTCACACGGTGAAATTATTCTGGTATGAGAAATTTACTTATTTTTCAAGCGCAAAACGAAGTAATTTGCCCAAAATTCGCTCTAGGTTATCGCATCCCCTATAAAGGGTGCGAGTAGTTCATCTCGTCTCATTGTTTCTAATTGGACATGGGTGGTTCGAAACCCATGTATGTAAAATTGGCTCCAACAAAGTTAACCCATTTGACTGACTCGAACCACCCCTATATTGGTCCCAGCGATTCGAGTATTATGTTGATATTCGATCTACATCAATTTATCTCTCCTCTAGGGGTGAGGGTTGAACATGGAGAGGACTGTTAGTACTTGTCCCATAGAAACAAAATTAAACCTTTCAAACTAGTATGCAAGCCTTGTAGGTCTCTTCGCTCATTCTCAATTAGTGTGAGTCACTAATAAACTTCAAACTAGTATTCTAATTGAGAATGAGCGGTTGCATTTAGGAAAATGACGTACAACTACACACAATAAATATAGATGACACCTAGCTTAAAACCATGAGACAAGACTTATATAATACTTATTGGACAAATATTGTGGGCAACATTTATATACTCTTCCACACGTTTTAAGAGAGACTGCATAACAAATCACTTTCATCCATTCCTTCCTTTTTAAATAACTATTTCTTTTTTTAAAAAGTAGTACTAAATTTTTCTTTCCTTTTTTCTCTCATGTTTATGATATACAATGGGTGTAGATTGGCAAACCATTGGCATCAGTTTTGTAGGATCCCTTGTTTCCACTAAACCAACATACAAGGTCAATTTTTCACACACTTACAAAAGTGTACATCTACATATATTCATTGTATTTCTTGGAATAATGTTGTAAAAAAATATAAAATGCATGAGAATTTTGTCATTAAAGAATATCTTAGGCTTCCCACATAGAATTACCTAGTCTCGGAAGGTGAATTTACCTCATCCCTTTAGAAGAAAAAACAAGCTTGAAATTCGTTACAAAGGAATCAATAGGACAAAATCTTTTCCTAGAGGCAATATAGGAAATTCTGGAAGGGGCCTTTGTTTGCCTGTGTACATTACATAGCGTTGGCGTGATTATCCAACTTAGGGACATTGGATTCAAGCTGGCCAAATCAAGTTTTAGGACAGCTAGACCAACATCTTCCCAAATTAGCCTATGCATCAACTTCACTTGAAGGCTTTGAGGCCACATTTCACCTTAAGGGTAGGCTTCAGCGCGTAGTGGACAAATCAAAGGGATCTAGCTGGAATCATTACATTATTGGCTCTTAGTAATTATCATATATCATGTAACTTGCTTTGAAATGAATATAGTGTGTGAACTACCTGGAATTAAGCACTTACCACGCACATTTCCCGATTACCCTTTTATGTATTTCCATGAAATGCAACTTGCATCAATTTTCCTTCCCCTTGGTGCCTGATGAACACTAATATCCTTAAATATTTGCACTTCCCTGAAAAAAACTAGAAAAATCAACTCCAAAATTCCTCAAAATACGTGGAAAATGAATACTAGTAGTCCATCAAGGGAACCCAATGCTCAGTCAAAACATCAGCCACCTCATCTGCCAATTGAGCAATCCAACTAATCTCCGCCTCCAGGAAACTAATATATAAGTTAATTCATGCAGTTTAGCTGCACAGGACATAGAACCTTGAGAATTGAGATCAAGGTCTACCCCAACAAATA